AAAAAAAAAAAAAAAAAAAGAAACTCCAATCCTCGACGTGCATCTGAATGCAAGCCGCCTGCGTCCCTCACTCGGCTATGTAATCACCTCGTTTCCAGTCCTCACTGCTCAGTCCCTGGTCCCAAAACTACTGCCCGGCATGTACGACGTGCTCAGTAAACACCTGCTGACTGAGGGAACCAGCGACACTGCCAAACACTGTGTCATCCAGACAGAATCGCGACGCAATAAGCAACCGTGTCGGCTGCCTCTCTCTTACCTACAATCTACCACCAAGAGGCAAAGTAAGAAATACCAAACTCGACTTGGAAACACTGCTTTAAAAAGTCTGTACTTACACGTGGTTAAATATTCCCAGAACGACTCCAAAAGTCATGTGAACGATTCCTAGGATCACAGACATTTTCATTTTGAAAGAGTTTAGGAAAGTGAGGCGGTTTGTGGCCAAGTTCCAAATCTAAAGACAAAACCAAACACAAGAAACCTTTAATGTCCTTCGACTGCCTCAGGACAGTGCCGTTAAACCCAGACCGCAGCCCCGCGGAGCCCGACAGGGTGGCGCAGGAGCACTCACGGGGTCGATGCCCAGCGGGTAGGGGCCCTGGAACACCCCGGGGACGCTCGGGTCCAGCTGCAGGACCCTGTTGTGCTTGACCACACTGTCGCTGTAACAGAGAGCGAGTGAGAGGGAAGGCGTCTTGGGAGAACCCTAGCGTGTCCAGCCCAACCCACCCCTGGCCACGGGACGCTTACTTCCAGAGCACCATCTTCTCGCGCTCGGCCGGGGCGTGGCTGGAGCTGTACATGGCAGACACGTTCCAGCCGGAGCCAAAGAGGTTGACAGACTTGGAGAAGCAGTCGTTGTAGATGAGGCCCGTGTACACCGAGAACAGCCCCATCAGCAGCAGGATGTAGCGGCCGTTGAAAAACATGCGCATGATCTGTGGGAAGCAAAGCAGCATGTGGCGAGCAGACAGGAGCCCGGGACGTGTCTCGTGATCGAGGCTGGACTGGTACGTTCTAACCACGGCCCTCAGGGGCTCTCGGAAACAAGGCACTGTGTATGCCCTGGCCAGCGGAGCCAGTGGTTAGAGCGTTGGCCCTCGCACATAGGGGTCCCAAGTTCGATTCCAGGTCAAGGGCAGGTATCTGGGTTGCAGGCTTGATCCCCAGTCCGGTCGGGGCGCATGCAGGAGGCAGCCAATCAATGTGTCCCTCTCACATCAATATTTCTCTCTCTCCCCCCGTCCCTTCCAATCTCTCTAAAAACCAATGGAAAAAATATTGATTAGAGTGAAGATTGACAACAAAAACAGGGCACTGTGACAGGCGTCTCTGTCACTCAGAGGGACACCTCTTACGCCTCAGTCGGGGGTTAGAGTTATTGCCAAACACCGACCAGTACTTGAGAAATGTCTTTCTCGGTCCCACAGAAGACAATCACCACTAATGCCCAGCTGGACAGGGTGAGCGGCAGCCTCTGTCTTTTTACCTCTTGTGACTGACTCAGCCTGGGATGGTTTTCGTTCAACACCAACAGGAGGGCGAACAGGAACATCACGAAGCCATGTCCGAAGTCCCCGAACATCACGGCAAACAGGAAGGGGAAGGTGATGATGCTGAAGAGAGCTGCGGGGAGCGAGAGGCGCTGACGCGGGGCCGAGGCGGGAAGTCCGCGCTCATCCAGACCCGCGGCTCTCAGCACACAACCGACGGGCTCGGGAACGCTTGACACGAAACGAGACCCCGAGCCGCAGCAGCCGGGCGGCCACCACATTCTCACCTGGGTTCACCTCCCGGTAGCTGCCCACCCCGTAGGCGTCCACGATGTTCTGGAACCCCTCGGTGAACTTGTTGGTGCGGATCAGAGTCGGGGGCGTCTCTTTAGTCGGGATCGTGTTCATGAAAGAGGGGATTGTAGCGCCGCTCTCTCTCTTTCACAGGAAAAAGGAAAAGAGAAAAAATTACCACCCATGAGCCCCCTCAACAAACACTGCTGCCTGCTGGCAGGGCCCTGGGCCCCCGGAGAAGTACCGACGGGCACTGGACAGGTTCAAGTGCAGTAGGAGAGAGAAAAAGAGCAGCGATTCACATCCGCTTACTTGTGAAGAAGAAACTCAAGCACACCAGCGCTAAAGCGACACTTATCTCTGAACCCTCGGTTCTGCCTCCCCGGGGCCGGGCGGCCACTCACTGAGCCGTCCTCGAGCGCTCGGCGCAGGCCCTGCAGGTCGGCCTCGGGACACCAGACCTCGGCGATGAGGCACTTGTTGGTCACGTCGAAGCTGCACAGGTTCAGCATGTGGTAGACGGCTTTCATCTTCTTCACCTGCACGGCGCGGCTGTAGACGGACTCGGCCGCCTTGCACAGCACCTGCCTCAGGTAGTCCTCGGTCTTGTGAAGCACCTGGGAGGGGACAAGCGCGGCCGTCAGCCCAGCGGGCAGTTCAGCCCTGTCCGCCTGGCACACGACCTTTTAGGGAGTTTCTCCCATCGATGGTCATGATGCCAGGCCCCTGCTGCCCCGGAGACAGGCAAGGGGGTGGTTCACTCCTCCTCTGGGATCCCAGGGCCCGCAGGAGGCAGGTGGAAAACCCCAGCCCAGCCCATCAGCTGCTCCCGGGGAGCCCCTGCAGAACAAGCCCCTCACCACAGTGGGTCACAGTCGGCTTCGAGCCACCAAGAGCTCCCTGCCATAAGTGTAACCATGAAACAAGAGCGACACTTGAGCCCTGGCCGATGTGGCTCAATGGTTAAGAACATCAGCCCGCACACCAAAGGGTCGCAGGCTCGATCCCCAGCCCCGCTGGGGCACATGTGGGAGGCAACCAATCGATGTTTCTCTCTCCCTCTCCCTCCCTTCCTCTCTCTCTCTCTAAAAGATCATGGAAAGAATATTCCCCAGTGAGTAACAACAACAAAAAACAGAAAAAAAAGAGCCACACTTGAAACTGGCGTGTCTGTCTCATCCCCCGACACGGCAAAGACGACCTTCAATTTGAAGCCTATCACTAGCTGGGTCCTAACAGGCTGCTGAAGTAACAATGCCCTGAAGAGGAGGAAGGTAAGTGACCGTCCAATCGCCCAGAAACAGCTCGAAGTGTCACAACCAAATGGTGCCATATTAGAGCAGGGAGTGAATGGACTTGGACATGTCTACAGCCCCCGGCCGAGGGGGCAGCGGCCGCCGGTCACTCACAGTGTAAAGGTCCTGAATCCGGGTGTTCAGCCCCTCCTGGATCTCTCGGCGCTCCTCGGCGGTCGTGGGGTAGGGATACAGGTGGCAGTGGTAACTGCAAGACAGAATTCAACACCGTCGCACGTCAGGCCCAGGAGCGGCCTGCGGGCACCTAGAACGAGGCGCAGGAGAAAACTGCCCAGGGTTCCACAGAAGGAAAACGAGACAGGTAGGTCCACGCGGAGCTAACAGGGACAGGCAGGCACGAAACACGACGACATGATGCCCTTTACAACTGATCTCAAGCCTCCGTTTCCAAAAAAAACAAAACAACAAACAAACCTGGGAATGTTATTAACATGTCTCTACTTTTAAATTATTTTGAGCCCAGCCAGGGGTGGCTCAGGGGTTGAGCGTCGACCTAGGATCCAGGCGATCGGGGTTCGATTCCCGGTCAGGGCACATGCCTGGGTTGTGGGCTCGATCCCCAGTCGGGGGCGTGCAGGAGGCAGCCGATCCATGACTCTCATCACTGATGTTTCTCTCTCTCTCCCTTCCTCTCTCTGAAGTCAATAAAGATATATTTAAAAATAATTTTGAGAGTTGCCCTGGGGAGAAAGGTAACAGGTTAAATGTTTATGAACGTCAAGTTACAGCCATGACACACAACACCCAGCAGCCTGTGCGTCCCCTGTGGTTCCTGACTGTGGAGATGAAGGAACGACCATCTGTCTCTTACCAGTCACATATCTTCTTCACCTTGTGGCCAATCTGCTCCCCCCAGAAGGAGATCAGGAAGACGTACCACTTGACGACCTCCCCCTGCAGAGGAAGCAAGGACACTGTCACTTCCGTGCCCTGAACCGTGAACGGCCGTCTGGCGGCTCAAACTCCATCAGAACCTCCTTACACAGATCTCACAACCGCAAGTGCACCATGCGTCATTCCCAACCCCAAACCGATGTTCGCGGCATTATCTGGGTCATTTGTGGACAAGCAGAGAGAAAAAAATCTGAGCCACCCAACGTACAACTCCTGGCTGGTGGACAGGGTGACGGATGCCCTGCCTTCTGGTTCCAGCTCAAACTGCAAACAAGCGTCCTAATCACAATCTCTTATTCGACACAGTTTTCACATGGTTGTGCTTTTTGGTGGTGACCTTGCTGTTAAAATGGCCCTGAGCGCAGAGCTGCCACGATGTGCAGTGTCCCTGAGCGGGACGGCTGGGCCTTACGGAGGGAACCTGAACGGGCTCAGAGGCCCGGAGGTAAAGGCACGTCCACGCCGATTTCCAGGTGGTACTGTCAGCGTGAAAGGAGGGCCTGAAACCTTCGGGGACGAGGTGCCAGGTGAGCAGCTCCCTCTCAGGCGGCTCACCTGTCCTGCGCGCCCAGCTCTGCTGCGAGTCTGTCGCTGCAAAAAGGTGATCATGCCGTCTACTCACCGTTTCGGGGTCTTCCAGGGACTCATCAAGCTCCGCGTAGGTCAGGATGGTGTACCCCTTGCAGACCCTCCACAGCATCTTTTCAAACGCCTCGACTTTCCCTTGGTTAATGAGGCCAGACACGAACCTGTGCGACAACAGAGATGAGCTGCAGGCAGTGGAGGCACTGAATTCTCATCAAAAGCAGAAGAAGTGAGACGTTCGTTTCAGGCAAAATGGCAGAGACCGAGAGCCCTCCAGCTGCCGAGTATGTGACGTGCTGGGTGAAACGGTTCGGGGGCCTCCTTTTCAACGTCCAGCTGAGCCCAGAATCACAGACACTCTTGGGGTCGAGACACGGGACCTTGCAGCCACCCTGATGTATTACACTGACCAGCATCTTAAGGCCTGGAGTTTCAATGCCCCCGTGGGAGAGGGGACAGGGGCACGGGGTCTACACAAGGTGAGGAGAGGAAACTGATCCCCCCAAAACCCAACCCTCTGAAGTTGGGACCCCCCCCAAAGGGCTACACGTTCAGTGAATGGGGTGGGTGAGAAAATCCACCTTGCAAAGGACCTGCAAGGACACTTATTTCATTCTCGGTTCCGGGGAGAAGGGGAAGGTCTTCCTTGAGAGCTTGTAACCACAGGTTAGAACTCATTCAGGCTTGTGGTTTAAATTCAGTGAAAACCAAACAGGGAAACAAAGCAAGAAACCCCAAGCTGATGGGGAATCAAACCGCAAGCTCCTGGATCCTAGGTCGATGCCCAACCCCTGAGCCACGCCAGCCGGGCAGCTATGTTCCCACCAAACAGAACAGGACCTGATGCTCTAACCACCAATTATTTTAGGCTCATGGGAGCAACACTGGTGTAAACGTCCCTTCTGTCCAACTCATTGTGCCAGATGAAGAAACACCAGTCCTGTTTAGCTAATAATTCAATACAGCTGCATAACTCATCTCACCAAACACAGAAGGACAGTGTTTTCTTACACAAATATGCACTTTCTTTCATTAAATCACAGGCTTCCAAATGCGCCCATTCATCCACTCCACAGAGCCCGTCTTCCCCGTCGGGAGGGCAGCGGGAAGCTGGGCAACCCCAGGGTGTCACCTACCCGAGTTTCGCTCCCAGCCTCTGCATACAGCTGTAGTCCAACAAGGAATCACTGTCCAAGGTGGGGAATTCCTCATAAGTTGGCTCAAACTACAACGAGAGATGGAACCGAGTGTTTCTCCTGAGAAGTGACCTCTCATGTCATAATTCCCAACAGTTTAGGGCACTGTCCGTCCACTGACCACGCAGAGCTGGGTGCTGTGGCCCCAACATAACTCAGATGTGAAACTCAGCTCTGATCAAGAAATCAGGTAGTTTCCCCACCCCTTACCTAGAAGCTACCTGGAGACATTTACACAGAGCTATAATTTATGCCGTCCCCTTGGTCCCCAATGGAGCAGCCTTCTGGAGTGACACTGAGTTCGGAAGGGCTGTGCCTCTCTGACACTCAGGTGAGTGCAGGAATACTGCACAGACCAGTCTCTGTTCTCATAAATTAGATTATGGTGCGTCTTTCTTAACTTCCTGTACTCTTAGCAGTTTGGAGATAAAAAACTAAATCTTGGAATCAAACTTCCTCTGTTCAATTTTTTCTCATGACCATAAAAAGATTTTTTTCAACTGCCTGCTAAGGCATTTTACAAAGAGGAGGTATTGTCATCGCTAAAACCAACCAACGCGGGAAAAGGCTTAAGGCTTTTTCTTGTGTTCTACCATCCACCCGAAAAGTAAAGCTGGGATCACACTCTCGGCAAAACCGATGCATCGGCAGGAACTGAAGACACAGCCAGAGGCCTGGCGGGCACGACATGTGCGTGAGGATGTGCGTCCTCAAGGGGCCAGTACCTCCACGGTCCGCCGGACGAAGGACTTGGTGGCCCGCAGCATGTGCGTGTACTCAATCAGCTCCAGCAAGTTCTTCCTCAGTTTCTCCTTGTTTCTTGTGACTTCTCTCAGCTCAACCTCAAGCTTCTGCAGCTGCTCCTAAAACAGAACAGCGGCTACTCAGGACCACACCCGAGTTCCCAGAGTAGTGCTGCCGATCTAGTCCCAGGACGGCCACACTGTTGTGGCTTTTAAAAAACCAGAGTTTATGGCAGTCGGATAGGGGTAGGAAAACACGCAAAGACCCATAAAGGCCATCACTGATTGTTTTGTGCTGGTTCGGGACATTCCTATCGAGAAGGTGCGATGACTCGAGGTCCCCTCGGGCAGCACCTGATCTCTGATCAAAGCGCCTGTAATTTCTTGGGTTGTCAGTGTCTGCTTATCCACAATCACACAAGAGTCCCCCTCTCTCAGGTCTACATTTCCTTTCATTTGCAACACAGNCATTTCTTGGGTTGTCAGTGTCTGCTTATCCACAATCACACAACAAGAGTCCCCCTCTCTCAGGTCTACATTTCCTTTCATTTGCAACACAGAAAAAATGTTTAGATAATCTTTTCTAAATATAGGGTGTCCCCCAAAAATGTATACACACTTTAACAGCTATTAGCTCAATTTTTAAAATGAAATGTATTTTAATAAACACTGCTTTGCCCGGCCAGCGTGGCTCAGTTGGCTGAGCTTCGTCCCAGGCACCAAGAGGTCACTGGTTCGAATCCCGGTCAGGGCACATGCCCAGGTTGCAGGCTCGATCCCCAGTAGGGGGAGTGCAGGAGGCAGCCCATTGATGTCTCATCAATGTTTCTATCTCTCTCCCTCTCCCTCCCTCTCTAAAAAAATCAATAAAAATAAATAAAACACTGCCTTTACCATTATTCAAAGTGTGTTATACATTTTTTTGGACACCTGATATATGGATTCTTGTCTCTTAAGAGTTGCACCTACAATGAACTGGGCATAAAAGCTCTTCCTAAATAACCTGTTCTATATGAAGTGTCCTTAACAACAGCTTAAGCAATAAAATAACAAAGGCAGAAATCTGTAAAATCAGTGAATACTTATATCAAACTAATCCCTAGAGACTGCATTCATTACTATGCTCTGCCTTATAAAACTATAGTCAGTAATCACTGTATTTGTAATTATATCCTAACAGCCCTTCACATGGGCTGAACCAGGGACTGCTTCCTACTCATCTGATTGTGTAACTCTCCCTAAGGTCCCCTCACATGCCACATGTTAAATGACTTCCTCTGAGATAAACAAACAGGGTGGCCCCGGATGGAGTGGCCCTTGGCACACAACAGTAATTGTTTAAGGACAATTATAAGGAGCTACTTCCCGTGTGATAAACAATCTGATGATTAGACTGGAACCTCAGGGGATCATTCATGGGGTGGGGTGCAAATGTCCTCGCAGGGGGGCACTGTGTCCCCAACACCCGAGACACTGGACTTGGGGAGACAGAATTCTCCTGGCTGCCCATCTGGAACAACCTACCATACACCTTCACATGAGCCTCTGAAAATGAGGGGGGAGGCTCGATGAATTGGGGAAGACTGTGAGGGCACAGGGCTGAGCCTTAATTGCCTGTGGTAGGAGAGGCATGCTGAGGCCTGGACAAGCCCGGGAAGGCCTCCCAGAAACATCATGTGACTAAGAGCCACCTGGAAAGGGAGCACACATCTTACTTTTTTTTCCTAAAGATTTTTTATTAATTTTTTTTTAAGAGAGAGAGGAAGGGAGATAGAAAGAGAGAGCGAAACATCAATTGGTTGCCTCCTGCATGCCCCCTACTGGGGATCGAGCCCCCACCCTGGGCATGTGCCCTGACCGGGAGTTGAACTGGTGACCTTTCAGTGCACAGGTCGACACCCAACCAACTGAGCCACACTGGCCAGAGCGACACATCCTACATTCCAAAAGAAAACTGGCTTGCAGGTAGACTGTACCCCAGGTCATCTATCGCGGGGGGTTAAGCATCACGTGGTTTTGAGGAGACTGGCAGGAAGGCACTAGGCAACAGGCAGCTAAGCAGCCCCTGGGATCAGGGACCTGAAGGTGGCTTCAGAAGCAGGTTACCTGCATTTCCAGAACCTGCTTCAGAGGTGGTGCAGGAGGACTGGTCTCTCCCTCGGGAAGGGGAATATCAGCTCTGTTAATCTCCTGCACCAGGTACGCTGCAGAAACAAAAGTGAAACAGATGAGACTCAAAAAGGTGAGACGCTTCAGTCAGAGCATTTCCCACCCCAGCCTTGGACAGTTCACCTAGAAACTAACATCTAAACGCACCCCAAAGCTGGTTTGTTCCACCGGACTCCGAGGTCGCCCGCTGCGACCTTCTTTCCAGAGACACACAGCTTCTCTACTGCTGTTAAAAAGTGGTTGAAACTGAACTCATGAAACCAAGAGTGAACCAACCTCGCCAGAGAGCCCACAGGCTGGGGGGTCGCAGGTTCAACCCCTGGTCCCAGTTGGGGCGTGTGCAGGGGGGCCATGGGGAGGAGCCTATCTATGCGTTTCCCTCACATCAATGTTTCTCTCTCTCCCTCCCCTTCCCCCCTCCCTTCCACTCTCTCTAAAAATCAATGGAAAAAATATCCTTGGGGGAGAATTAACAAACAAAAAAGAGAATTTCTTTGGTTTTTATTTCCGATTCCATGAAGTGTCCTTTGCCTTAAGATAAAAGTCACAATACCTGGTAAAGTCATGACCAGATGTAATATTTTGGAGAAGTGTTACTACTTACTTCTTTTATTAAAAAGAAAGATACTCTGGTTTCTCTTCAGATCATTTAAATCTTTTGCCTATTTAAAAAAAAAAAAGGAAAAAAAAGCCCTGGCCGGTGTGGTTCAGTGGGCTGGGCGGCGTCCCATGTGCGGAGGGGTTGAGGGTTCGATTCCTGGTCAGGGCACATGCCCCGGTTTCAGGCTCAGTCCTCAGCTGGGGGCGTGCAGGAGGCAATGTTTCTCCCTCTCCCTCTCCCTTCCTCTCTCTCTAAAAATCAATAAAAAATCTTCTTTAAAAAATGGGAAGGGGGAAGCATTTTGAGCAAAGAGACAAGCAAGGATGTCTTATCAATGAGATAGCAAAGGAAGCACAGGGTGGTCTAAGAGGTTTCTGGAAATGGATGCAAATCATTTGAGGCTATTTATACCTAAATTGGCCTGAGAGTTCTTTTTTTTTTTTAAGTCTGTATTTGTTCTGGAATCGGTTGTGCTGCAGGAAGTCCTGGACATGTCTAATGCATTAGCACTCTCACCCTGCCTTTAAAATCCTCATGCCAGGTACACGACTCATCCAGTGACTCGTGTGTGGCAGAGCCAGGCACATGCCGTCACTCTATCGCACATAGTCCACACCTGTAGCCAGGACCTCAGGTGACTGAGAGATTATGCTTCTATCCTGAAAACCCCCAATTAAAAAAAGATAAAATCCACAGTAATTATTAGCTATTAGAAATCATTCTGAAAGTCATATTCTGCCCCCTCAACTCTCTCACCCCCAATTTTTTCTGTTTGTCCTTCTAAAAACAAACTTTGTACTTCGGTCAATTGTCAGGGGTCACGTTCACCCCCATTTCAGTTGGAAGTTCGGGGCTTGAATGGATCATGACTATTTCAGACTAAGATGCGAAAGACTTCACAGATGAAGCAGCCTTGAGCTACTGGGTGTTAGTGGTTGACAGTCAGAGAGCACCGACCTAACAGCTTCCAGAAGGAAGCCCCAAGAAAAAGGAAATTACCATCGGCTAATCCATCTGCCAATTCCTACCTCCTGTGTTCACTGATATAATTTTAAGTCATATATTTACATGTATATGATGCTTTTAAGTCATGATAAACTCCAAGAGGCTGGTTAAGTAAACAATGGCACACTACTACACTACGCAGCAAGCAGCCGTTAAAAACGATGGTGGGCCAATCTGCTTACTGACACGAAGAGAAGTCGCGGTGGGTGCTTACTGTTGAACAAGAAACAAAGCTGATAAGCAGCGAGGTGACCGCTACAGACGTAAAGCCTTTACTTTCATAGATGAATGACAACGGGTATGGAAAATATAACCTGCAGAACAGCGATGACCTCTGAACAGTGAGAACACGGGCAATTTCTTTTCTCCTTTCTGTTCATCTGCATTTTCTAATTTCTCTAAAGTGCGCAGGGTTTGCTTATATAAAAACGGTCACTTGGGTTATTAACACAGACTTACCCAATATGCGCTCCAGCTCCTCGCACCGCTTCACCTCGCCCACAAATTTCCTTTGGAAAGAACTGACACTCTGGTTGAGCTGAGAAAAGAAGACAAACGTTTGAACGTTCTAAAAGTTAAAAATGAATCTGGGCAACTCTCGAAAAACATAATCAGACAACACCTTGGCATGAAACTGCTCAAACAACACAAGAGTGTCTACCCCCCCCCCAAGGTTCAGGTTTTTTTTTAATTATTATTTTTTAAAAGAATTAACCACAATAAAGACAAAAAAATTCTACTTTCACTTCTGTTTGTGTCAAGTTCGCACTCATTTCTGGAACCCATCACTTATCTAAAGGAACCACTTCCAAGCTCCTAATGATCCCGAAACAGTCTATTTCTATAGAACTAAGAGAGCAAGAGGGAAGCCAGGCATCCAAGCCTGTCCACGAATGACACCGCGTCTCAGTTTCAATTTTCTTCTACAATATCAAACACTAATAACTCTAACTGGACACTGTGGTTCTACAGAGTCCTAACGAAGAGTCACATTTCTGCAGCGGTGACACAAACGTGGTCGGGTCTGACGTCCACCATCACCACCATCACACGTGTATTAACTGTTTGGGGTTTTTCTTCCCATTACATGGTTTCTTTTACCAAGTTTTACTTCTCTTTTTTTTTTCTAGGGGGGAAACATCACCCCAAATCCAGGCCAGCAATGTAAAGTACCTTTCAACATCGATTCATCTAAAGACTAACACAACCTCGGAAAGCCGGCAGAGGCTCCTGGTGCTGCTTTTACTAACGTCCCCACCAGCGACCGCACTCCGGCAGCCAAGGGACTGGCACCAGGTGAAAACCGTTCCTAACGCGCCGACGGTTCCAAAGTGCGGTGCTCTTGCCCTTCACTGGGCCCCGCGGTTAGTTAAATAACCTCTCTTTCCTGGGCTGTAGCTACAGAAACCCTTGACCGGCCTCCTTTCCCTTAGGAATTTTAAAAAAATCCTCACCTGAGGATATTTTTTCCATTGATTTTTAGACAGAGAGGGAGGGAGGGAGGAACATCCATGCGAGACACATCGACTGGTTGCCTCCCCCACGTGGCCCCAGCGGGGCCGGGGATCGAGCCTGCAGCTGGGGCACGAGGTACATGCCCTTGACTGGGAATGGAACCTGGGACCCTTCGGTGCGTGGCCGCTGCTCTAAATGCTGAGCCGCACACCAGCCAGGGGCTCAGATGGACTATTAGAAGAAAAGGGGTCGATTAACTCGGCCTGCGCAAGCAGGAAAGACTGAGGCCAGCATCCCATCTGGCAAACGTGAAGCTGGTAAGCTCGGGAAAACGTCAGGGGCGATGGAGCTCTCTGCACAAGCGTCCATGGGGCTGGCTGGACAGTCCACCGTAAGAACGGAAGACAGACCGGCCCACACACCGCCCTGAAAATCAGCACCACGTGAGGAAGAGCTCACCTTAGCACTTTAGTTTTATTTTCCATTTAGAAAGAGGTGACTCGCACTTTCTTTTTCTTTCCCAGAGTTTCGGTTAAAAAGGATCCTGTGCAGCCCCCCTCCCTGATGTAAGAGCGCTCTGTGAAGCCGGGGTCTTGGTGGTGACTGGGGCATTGTTCCAACCTCTGCGATTTCAGCTGCACAGGCCTCCTGGCCCAGGTGCTGGCAGCAGGGGGCAAATCCACCTGCTGTGAGGGAGGGAGCTAGTTTCTATCGAGCCCTTTCCTGAATCTTCAAGGTGCTACTCGCAGCAGCTCAGGGCTGCACCTGCCAGGTGCGCGGGTACCAGGTGCCGGGGCCCCAGTGGCTCCAGGAAGCAGGGGGACAGCTGGGCCTGCCCTGCAGCCTCACCTGGCACCCGGGGTTTTCTCTCCACTCTGCCAGCTGCCTTTTGGTGCCACCTCAGAACTCGAGGGGGTGGGGGTGCTCCCTTTGGAGACGAGGGACCCCTGCGAGTGGTGAAGGAGGGCAACGCGGGGATGACCACTGCGGCCCAGGGAATGAAGTGTCTGCCTAAGTGACTTTGGGTCAAGCAGAAAGTACTAGGTCCTGCTCGCAACCCCTCCACGCCCCGCTCTGCCCATCACGCTCCATAACCAGGGCGGCGGGCGCCTCCCCCGGGGCTGTGGGCACAGGGCCTCGTCCTCCAGGCTGGCACCGCGCCTGGACTCGGTACAGGGCCTGGGGATTCACTCGACAAGCGCCCACTCAGGCCTCGGG